GCAGTCAGTGCTGAGTCATCTCTCCTTCCCTATATTGAGAATCTTAAGGAAGGGAAAGGGAAGTTTATTTTTTCTTAAATTAATTGATTCTCTCTCTCTCTCTCTCTCTCTCTCTCTCTCTCTCTCTCTCTCTCTCTTGTGACAGGGCTTCTCTGTGTATCCCTGGTTGTCCTGGAATTCACTTGTAGACCAGATTAGACTCATGCTGTCCTTAGCCCTCTCTGCTGGGGGTTCCACCTGGCTACAGGAAGTACCCAATTCAGGATTCATATCCACCATTGCTAGGAGTTTCAGTCCTCAGCCGCCCTGAGGTGACAACCCCAACCCCTATTTCTGTTCTCCCCTGCTCTTCCTACACACCAATCTTATGTTCAAATGTTCCCTCTATTACTTTATGACCTACTGTCAGAGTCTGATGAAGATTTTTGTCCTGGCTTTTCTCAGTGTGACCGCCTAACCTACTCTAGATACTTAATACTTACCTTCTAATCCTCCCTAAGTAGCTGTAAAATCTGGTATTTCTCAGTTTTGTAAGTCCACATTTCCAGGGACCACTCCCTCATCTGACAGATGCTTCTGCCAGAACAGCTGTGAGCATCACAGGGACCTGGAAAGGAAGGGCCATGGTGGACAGAAGCACAGGGTTCACTTCAACAATAAATCGTTTTTATTTTTCCTACTGCTGCTTATATACTGTTTAGCTATCTACTAGAAATAGCATTGCAAGCAGAATTTGAAAGAAAAATAGTATCTTTTGAATACTTTTTGTGAGTTCTTTTTTTCCACATATCCCTGCAAACAGCATCTTTTTTATCAGCTTATCTGAGTTCTTCCTTCTTCCTTTCCTGCCCATGTGGCCTTGTTTTGCCTGGGAGGACAAAACCTTCAAGGTTTTATCTCATGTTTACAGTTTGCACAGTCACCAGACCACATTTGCGTCAGGCCTTGTGCCTTGGAAAGGACTATAGACCATTTGGACCCCACAGAGTCTTAACTATGACCCAGACGTCCATAAATTAGAGAGAAACACAAGACAGAGAAATGCCTTTAAGAATGTATGTAAAATATATTTGAGTAAGGAGGAGTATACTATTAATATTCATTTTGTTTTCATGTTTTGTTTTTATTTACTTAATTTTATAATGCAATAGCTTTTTTCTCTTTTTTAAACAATCCCCCAAGCAAATAAACAAACAAACACCAAAACCAAAAAAATAAAAACATCCAAAAAACAGCATTCATTTCATCCTGTCGGGTATCTTACATACTGCACGTATTTCCCTGCCTCACGGCTGTTATTCTGTATACAGACATATACATGAGATATGTGTATGACTACACCCCCACATGACAGATCTTGATGCTCAAGGAGGTGATGTTATCTGTATATTTTTCATGTTAAACAGTGTCACGACTGAGACAAACTGCCAATGTATGCTTATTGAATTGTGTTGAATCCGAGTGCTACTGACTATAATTCTGGGCTACAGGTAAACGCTTATGTTCTTCTTATCATTAAACCCTTTTGAGGGACTTTAAATTTCTTTTTTTTTCTTATGCACAATAATCTCACAGGTTTTACATGAGATCTATTCTCACTTCCATGACGAGGGGTGGAGCCACCTAAGGAAAACTCCTAAAGTCCTTAATCTCCAGACTTCCTTCTCTGGTTGCTCTGGAAAATGGAAACATTGTAAATTAATAAAGACAGGGCTGTGTAGTAAAAGAATGGCAGACTTGAGTGGAGCTGTCGTAATTCCATTTTGATAAAGATTAATGAATGTCATCTATAGGGTTTTGAGTATTTTATTCAAGTGGTTTTCCTCTCTAAGCACTGTGCTGACCTTATCAACTGGCTTCTCTAGATTAATTTACATCCAGCTTCCTGTTAGGCTACCCTACTATATAATTCACAGAATCCTTTGAGTTTGTTTTTTTAAATAAGAAATAATGTGTAAAGTTATGGGTTTATATTTTACTTTTCTCATTTTTACATCTTTAGAGGCCCGGAGATAAGGAGAAGGGCGTTCCCATGACGTCATTTCATTTGTGAAGCGTGGATTGTGGTTGTAAAGCAGGAAGCCAAAAGGAGAAGTCAGTTTCTTTTAGTATACAAACTTAACTAAATTTGAACTAATTTGACTTTTTTTTCCATCAAAAATTGGTAATATGGGCAACCTTACACACAACAGTTTGTGGGAGCCATTGTGCATTTTATCAATTTTTTTTACACTCTATGAACTTTTTTCTCTCTCTAAAAGTCAAAACCATAAAAATTTCAGATCAAAAGTTCCATCACTGTGTCCTGCCTTCAGCTGAGATAAATTCTGTGCAAACAAAACCTCCATGAGAGAAAAAATCCTCTTTGGAATACATTAAAAGAGATTTATTCAAATAGACTCAAACACTTGTTAGGTTAAAGTTGTAAATTTTAATGCAATTTTAAATTCAATATGGTGATAAATGTTTTTCTCTTTGTTTTATAATTTTGTATTTTACTTCTAAGAATCTGTTATTTTATACTTTATCATAGTTTCATGGCATGTCAAAGAGATCTTCCTGGAAGGCACTCACAAGAATTATTGCTAAAGAGGGAAAAATAATTCATGTGGGAAGCAGATGAAGTCCTGAGGGAATTGTGTATTATTGACAGGAGTGTGGAAATGGAAATAGCAAAGCCTTCCACTGGTCTGGGTCCGGTGCTCACCAATGGTTAACTTTCAGCTAATACCAGTGTACTTAGAAACTGTTAACTTCAGCTTCCTCTTCACGGATGACTGTAATCTGAGAGTGCAGATTAGCTAACATGGGTCCTGCTCATCTGCACTGTACAGAATTAACACTTGAGTTTCCAGATTGCTGTTAGTGTATCTCCATCAGACTGTGTGGTGTACATGTGCATGCCTTTCTACAAATGAGTGAAAGCCAGAGAACAGCCTCAGATATAGCTCTTCATGTTCCTTACACATTGCTTTTGAATCGGGGTCTCTTATTAGCCTAGAACAAGTAGGCAAGGCTGTTTGCATAGAGAGGCCCAGGGATCAGTCTTTCTCAGCCTCTTCAGGGTGAGAATTACAAGAGTATGCCACTTAATTTAGCTTTTTGTTGAGGAGGGATTGAATTCAGGCTATCATGCTCATAATATACTTTACTTTTGGGGGTGGGGGTGCTGGAGAGATTGTTCAGTAGTTAAGCTACTTCCCAGGGTTCTGAGTTTGAGGTCTAAGCTCACCAGTCTGTAACATCTGTCCTGGAAGATCTGAAACCCTCTGCCGACCTTCAAAGGCATCAGGAATGCACATGACGCACAGCTATTTGGGCAGTCAAGACACTCCTACTCATAACATAGAACATACTTTCCTCAGTGTCTAAAACATACCAGAGCCAATAAACCCAAGTGCATGCATGTGCTATAAATGAGGAAAAACAAACTGGGTTCCACACTATAAATAACAAAAATGGCTTGAGAGAAAATCATAGGGGTGATTTCATTACATTAAAAAAAAAGAATCTCATGAAATTAATAATACATAATTTTGTTGCTATATTAGACATTTGTTAGAAAAAGGTGTGCTGGGAGTCAAAAGAATGTTAAAATAATAAACTAGCTCCAGGCCAGTGACAAAGATAGGGTCTATACTGATTTATATACTCAGAAAACAAGATTAAAATTTCCTACAAAAGAAGCTTGAAATTGGATTTTACTAAGGCATATCTTTTATATTTTTGCCGCCTTTTCTCTAACATGTTTTATGCAAAGTGACATGCAACAGAGATTTAATTCCAAGGGTGTCCCAGCTTATTAGGTATGCCCACCCATTATATGGAGATAGGGCATAAGGAAAGTGAAGCACTCTGCCTATGCACAGTGAGTATACTTACATTCCCCTGAGCAATAAAGGTGGAGAAGGTTGACTCCTCCCCTTTCTATAAGGTAGACCCATTCACAGTCACATTAAGATCCTATAGGTGGAATAGAGTGACCGGTAGGGAGCCATCTTTGTTGGCTTAGTGTTCGATCTGGTATCACAATACAAAGCCCATGAAGTCAGTCATCTCAGTAAAATTCAGAATATTTGAGAGTAAGCCACTGATAGCCTCTGATTGGGGAAGTGACTGTATAAGAAGTCCTTGTCCTCCTTTCTTTCTTTCTTTCTTTCTTTCTTTCTTTCTTTCTTTCTTTCTTTCTTTCTTTCTTTCTTTCTTTCTTTCTTTCTTTTTCTCTTTCTTCTTCTTCTTCTTCTTCTTCTTCTTCTTCTTCTTCTTCCTCTTCCTCTTCCTCTTCCTCTTCCTCTTCCTGTTCCTCTTCTTTTACAAACTGGGTGTTATGTTGTCAGAATTTACATATGATTCTGGTTGGTGTATTTTCCAGCATTTGATAGATTAAATAAGAAAAGATATATACTTAGTAATGCATAACTCCTAAAACCAGGTAAGATTTAACTACTTCAAAGAAAATCTGCAATACGTGTATGTTCTGGTTTAATTTCTGTGGCTGTGGTGAAATAGCTTGACAAAAAGCAACATAGGAAGCAAAGGATTTATTTACCTGACAATTCTAGGCTATAGTCTGTCATTTCAGGGAAGTCACATCAGGAACTAGTCACATCATATCCATAGTCAAGCAGAGAGAGAAACAAATTTCTGTTTTCTTAATGCTCGGCTATTTTTCTTTACTCTTGGAGAGGCCAGGGCCCAACCCATGAAGTGGTACAGTCTACAATGGTTTGACTTTTTCTACACCTTATTTAAATCAAGAAAAATCTTCACAGACACACCCACTGGCCAATTATCATGTAGATAATTTCCCAGTAGAGGCTCTCTTACCAGGTGATTCTAGATTGTATCAAGTTAACAGCCCAAACTAACCAGCATACCTTATTTTTAAATATGTACACTATATAACAAAGTAGCTTTGCTAGACAACTTCAGCAATATTGCTTTCAGGATACAATCTGATTGGCTGGAATGCATCACCCCTTAGTTCTTATGTTCTGGCAAGATTCTTTGGCGGTTTTTTTTGTCTTAACTGACTATGTGTGACTAAAAGGTCGAGTTTTACTTGCAGCTTAGCTGCTGAGAATATGGCCCAATTTATTCATAGAAGAATAGTGGTCTTAAAGAAATAATAGTTTAAAAATGTTTATTTCTATGCCCAAGAAAAGACATTAGCCAAATCTACGATCACCAACAGATGATCGAGGACACTTTTAGTTTCTGTGTCATCTTATGCTATTCCTGTGGGAACCCTTCTGTGTTTTGGAAACAATCAAATAAACCAGTGAGGTCAGTATGCTTCAAATTTCATACAGGATACTAGTTTTTGTTAATACAGGCCATTATTTTTTTTCCTATGTAATATTTGCTCAAACGCCAATATTTGTTAGTTTCCAAGTGGCCATGTTTTTAGAATTTCTTTTCTAATAATTAATAGAAAAATGTAACAGTTTATTGAGATGCTCTTTTCTAGTTGGCCTCACCAACTAGAACTTTGGGCAACACACCAAAGGCTTGCTGGTGTATGATGGTTTGGGTCATGTACTTAGAATTACAGGAAATTAAATTCAGAACAAATAGCAAATTTGCGCAGATGAGCTCAGTGTTTACATGGAAGAGGATCTGTATGAAATTTCTAGTTCGTATTCATCAAGTCTCCTTCAACATTTCAAGGAGGGAACAAAAGTCTCATTTTTCTTCTCTTGTTCAGATGACACCATGAATAAGTGTGTTAATAAACCCCGTAACTATTTGAAAATATTTAATTTACACTATGAAACTAGCCAGGCATTTGAGTCCTTCACGTGAATGTTTGTTCTTGCTTTTAGCACACTTTCGTCATGCTGAAAACAACAATCCATGTTTAGCCGGTGGGTGGCGCAGCTTGGTGAACTGGTGCTCTTTGTTTTGGTTGCCCAGGCAGCTCTCAAACCAGTAATGCCTCCTGTGATCAAGGACCAACCTTTCAACATTTTCTGGGCTGCCCCTACTTTGTTTTGTAAAAATAATTTCGATGTAAATATAAATCTTCAAGTGTTTAACATCATTCCAAATCCTTTTGAAACGCAGAGTGGATCCACTATTGCCGTTTTTTATCCAAAGGAACTCGGATATTATCCGTATTTCTCTGAAGATGGAACATCCTTCTATGGTGGAATACCTCAGAATGTGAACCTCTCTGAGCACCTCAGGAAAAGTGCCAGAGACATTGCGGATGTTGTCACTTTGTGGAGATCAGAAGGACTTGCTGTTATCGACTGGGAAGGCTGGAGACCCCAGTGGGATAGGAATTGGGGCAGCAGAATAATATATAAAAACCACTCGCTAGCCTTCACTCGACACCACCATCCTGACTGGGCTGAAACGAAAGTGAGAACAGTTGCCCAGCAAGAATTTGAAAAGGCTGGAAGAAGTTTTATGAACGTTACTCTCACGTTGGCTTTAGAAATGAGACCAAAGCGTTTATGGGGCTTCTATCTCTATCCAGATTGCTATAACTATGATTACCGGATAAATCCCGAGTTCTACACAGGTAGTTGCCCAGATGATGAAATTTTCCGCAATGATCAACTCACGTGGCTGTGGGAAAAAAGTGCGGCACTTTATCCTTCCATATATTTGAGTAAAATATTAAAATCAAACTTAAATGCACTGAAATTCGTTCACTTTCGAGTGAGAGAAGCCCTCAGAGTTGCCGAGATGACTAGAAAGGACTATGCTTTGCCAGTTTTTATTTTTTCCAGGCCATTCTATTTGCAGAGTATTGAGGCTCTATCAGAGGTAAGAAAAAAAAATCACATAAACCCAATATAAGGTTAATAGAATATATGTTAAGTTTAGAAAGAAATCTTTGGGTGATACTTATTTCTCATTAAAGTGTCATTCTAGTATTAAAGGAGTGTATTTATTCAAATGTCAACTTAATTCTGAAATTCCAAACAACTGAGTAGACATGCTATCTAGAATTTTAGAAGATAGAAAAACTCATTTAGGGGCTGGTGAGATGGCTTAGTGGTTAAGAGGACTGACTGCACTTCTGGAAGTCATGAGTTCAAATCCCAGCAACCACATGGTGGCTCACAATCATCGGTAATGAGATCTGATGTCCTCTTATAGGGTGTCTGAAGACAGCTACAGTGTACTTACATATAATAATAATAATAATAATAATAATAAAAAAATAGGCCAGAGGAAGTAAAAGGAAGAAGGGAAGGGGAAAAACAAAACAAAAAAACTTCATTTATACAGCCAGTGTTACAAAAGAGAAATCCTGTTTTGAAAATAAACAAACAAACAAACAAACTCATTTAGAACTCACAAGAGTTTCCCATAAAGGCTCTTGTGGTTTTCCAGATGGAAATTTATAAAAAGGAGATTTGAGATTAAAGTATTAACCAATTGAACTCTTCATTATGCAGTATTATATTTGCTGAAAAGATGGCATGGATTCTATTGTATGTTTCTTTGGAGTCCACAATATGGGCTAATAGTCGGTGTCAATGGATTGTGTAGTTTATATAAATAGATATTTTGATAATTGGTTGTAACTGTCCACTTGACACAATTTAGAATCACCTGGGAAGAGGTTCTCAGTGAAGAATTGTTTTGATTGGGTTGCCCTGTGGTCATGTCTGTGGGGGAAATGCCTTGAATTTGCTAGGTGATGTGCGAAGAACTAAAACTGGGATGTAGCATTTCCCGGATTCAGATCCTGGACTGAATAAAACAGGAGAAAGTGAACTGACCAATAGGAAACATGCAGGAATCCAACCTTTGTCTGCTCAGGACCGAATGTGACTAGCTGCCTGTAGTCCTTGCTGCCTTGACTTCTTGTAAGTGCTGGGCTGTAACCTCACATTGTGAACGATTGTATCCACATTCTTTCATAAGCTGCTTTCATTAGGGTATCTTATAGCATTGGGAAATGAACCCAGGACAGGGATATCCTCAATGTTAGCACCAAGTATGAAGCTTAGAAATATTTGGTGAACTTGCCTGGGAAATAATGAATTTGCAGATTCTAGAAGTGCTCAAACATCAGCTAGATTGTCACTTGGGACATTGCTGTGTGAATGCAACCATTAGGCAGATGGACCTGTGAGAAAATGACTAACCCTATCTGAGTGCCAACAGCTCCGTTGTTATGATGACTAACACAAAGGTGTGACTATTAGAGCTCACTTCCTTAGACCACTACATCATAGTAAGGGCACTTAAATGCAGAAGCAACTCTTCCTAAAAGATTTCAGAATAAAACCTGTCAATCTAATATTTATTATATACGATTGATTAGACTATCTAGTTTTATCATCACAAGATTACTAATGTTCTTCAAAATGGTAGGTTTATTCAATAAGTTTATGACAAAAAGAATCATAACATTATGGTAAAAAATAATCCACTTTCACTCAAACATGAATTCACTTTTACCTTTGGCTTTTTCTTTAGTTTTTTTTTTTTTTTTATGAGCTACTTCCTGTACAAGAAAGAAACCTATGTTGTAGGGCAGTATTAATTCTTGGGAAGTTCATGCATGTAGAGTTACTTTGTCTTTGGATAACTTTACACCATTAGTGCTAATACTATTTCAAGCACAGCATAGACTAAGTCTTTATTTCAGAAACCAGCCTGGGCTAGAGGTGGGAGGTTAAGCTGCTAAAATTACTTGCTTTGCAGACCTGACATCCTGAGTTTGATCGCTATAACACACAAGGGAAGGAGAGAACCACTTCCTGAAAGTTGTCCTCTAATCTCCACACATGTATGGTTTCAGTGTATCTTCACACACACACACACACACACACACACACACACACACCCTAAGAATAATAATAATGATAATTATGATGATGCTCTTGGTGTCCAAAGTCTTTTCATCGAACTCTCTTTCAACTGATAGGTCTCTCAAATATCACCTTTTCAAATTCTTTTGGCAAAATGACTATTTGAGCTACAATAACTACCAGCCTGGTAAGCAAGCCGATTGGTGCAGTATTAACACCAACATCATGGGTAACCAACTACTTTCTCGTTGGACTTAAGGACTATTTCACAACATGAAAACTATACTTGGCACCGTTATTGGGATCAAGAACCTTTGGCTAGATGGGTCATAAGCCTTAGTAAAGAACTATTACTATAGTTCTACTAAAGTATATAGTTGTAATATATAATATACAGTTGTAAGTAATAATATATAGTTTTTCTACTAAATCAACAAAAAGAATATGAGCTTCTTTTTGCAGTGGATGGTGATTAATACAGAGACCGACAACTGCCCAAGGTGTAGAGAATAAGAGACAATGGAATGTTCAGCCTAAGAGAGAGATATATTACTCCCACTCCTCCTAAGGCTTGGATCATTGCAGAGCCATAAGGGTTGCACTTATGGACTCAGAGTGGTTGTGACAGCATGCCTAAGACCAACATAAGCCGGAGCCAAGCCAAATTCTAGAGAGAACGTGGACACAAAGTCTCAGCCCCAGACGAGGAGCTGACTAACTAATAGCTCCTGGGAGAAGGAGTATGACATCTGGGAGGTTACCCATGATTCAGCTGATGGTCACACATGTAAGAGAACACGGGCAGCACAAATTGTACTTGATGTGTTAAAAACCCAAAAAGGAGGACACAAAATTGAATGGGGGAGGGAAGATGGGTAGATCTGATAGTAGTTTGGGGAGGAGAGTGGTTAAAACACATTGCATAAAATAGTGTGGGAATTTCAAAGAATTAATTTTAGAGGTTATAGTTATCCATTCAAAATTATTTAATGACTATGACAGGTCAATAATACAGTTATTAATACTAACAGTAAAACTAATAATCCAAGAAGCTAGAGGGTTCATCTTAGCGGTAAACGGTGAGTTAAGAATGTTTTAATGTGTCTATGCTTTTACTGTGACTGGCCACTTGAGGTCTGGTATAGAGTGTTTTTCTTGTTGCAGCAGATCTGTTCAGAGTTTCAGATTTTCAGGCATTTTAGGTTTGGGGATTTCTGCTTAGGGATCCTTCTACTAGTCTTTTTGATCTGCAATTTTTAAAGTAATACGAGGAAAGAACTCATTCTTCTACGATATAAATGGTACCACATTCCTTAAACATAAGACAAGTCTTTTGCCAGGAAACATTTGAAAGAATCAACAAAACTTCTTTGAACGAAAACTCCCATTGAAAAGTTATGTTTCTTAGACAATAGGTGAAAACAATCTATACTGTTGGTTGACAAGTGATACATATACATCAGGAAAACATTAAACTTAATAATAGTTTTAAGATACTGTATACTTTTTGATGAATAGAGTATATGGTTTATTGGTTTGTGAAGCAGAGTTCAGAGGGGATGGCCTATAGTTTACATTTAAAGTATAAGAATAGGATCTGGAGAGATGCCTCAGCACGTAGAGCACATACAGTCCTTACAAAGACCTGAGTTCACTTTCCAGCATCTCTATCAGGCAGTTAGAGACTGTCCGTAACTCTAACCCCACCGGTCCCAACACCCTCTTCTGGAATCTCTCATGTGCACATATCCCACACACATACACACAAAGCTACAGATAAAATCTGAGAAAGTCATAAACTTGAAGTAGTTCTACTGTTTGAAGTAGTCGTCAAGCCTTTCAAATAAGAGATATTTAATTTTTGCTAACTAAGCTCAGTTGGAGCTTTTCTATAGTATAGGGATGTTTGGTTGTGGCATGAAAGTTTACTCATCAGGTCCTTGAGTGCCCCAGCTTTTCAAAGAATCTCTAATATATCGTGGGAGAGGAAAACATTTAGACCATTTCCATATCTTACCTTCCCCCTCATTCTGCTTCCCATTATTTATTTTTGGCCTACAACCCTGAACATAACCTCCTCCTCAATTTCTAATCTACCCAGTCACCCAACTTAAGAGTCATTTGAATGCCTTCTTCCTTCTCTTTCTATTATCTAACAGGTAACTAAGAATTACATGTCCAAGTTAGAAATAACTCTAATAACTTTCCTTATCTTTTTTCTGGATCGATGTTGCACATGTTGAGCCTTTATAGTTTTTCGCAAAACAACTCCCATCATCCCTAGTTATTATCTCTACTCTCTAACATCTTGACATCCCTACCCAATGTTTTTTTTTTTACATAGCTGCAAAAATACATTTTACCAAAGTTGCAAATTTGTACTTTTCTAGTAATAAATACTTAGAGGTAAGACTTTGTCTGTTGACAACATTTGCTCTTTGACAATTTCATATATTATATAATGCATTTTGACTATCCCCATTCTCTATCCCCTCCTTATTTTTTCCCTTCCTGTGACCATTCCCTTTTACAAATCTCTTTACTACACTCATGTCCTTTTATTCTGTTTTGTGATCTTGATTTTTAACCAGGGCTGTCAATGAGGCTGTGGGTTTGGAACTCTCCATTGGTACCTAGTGGACTCATCTCTGGGTGTACAATTGAAGACAATGACTGACTCAGCTAGACTCTCTTAGTAGTCAATAGAATGGCAAGGAGGGTAGAGTCCATGAGCTCCTCCCATTCATGATCCACTGTTGACAGGCCCAGTCTTGTGCTTGCTCAGTAAATTCAACTGTAGCTGCTCTGACATCATGTTTCAAATGACTATATCATGCTTTAAAGACAGAATTTTGCAGCCTTTACCCATATTTCTATTGCGAACCTTGGAGGGGGTGGTGCAGCTATTATGTTTAGGGCTGAGTACTCAACTGTCTCTTATTCTCATTACCTTGAGCAGCTTCAATTACCACATTCACAAAGCCTTTCATTGAAAAGAAAAGCTTCTCTGTTAAGCCTGGGTGTAGCATTTGTCTATGAGTATAAGTATAAATATTTAGAAGAAAGTTTGACATTATATAGATATAACTAAAGAATAGTATTCAGTTTGCTCATACAGCCTGACTTTTCTTATCATGGGTGATTTTTTTGACATAACTATTAAAATATTTTTATATAAAATATTATATTTATAATTTGATCACATTTTTCTTCTCCCCCAAACTCTTCCATACACTCCTATGTACCTCTCCCTACTTTCTTCAAATTTACAGCCTTTTTTCTTTACTAATTATTATATGTATATACATGTATGTGTATATACATATATATTCCTAAGTATAACCTGTTCAGTCCACATAATGCTACTTGTCCTTTGTAGTTCTTTGTGTAGAGCTGAGGCCTCATGGGCTTTCCTCCATCCAGGTTGACATGTTTATTGCTCTCATTCTTGTTCAATGTTCCCTGAGCATTGGGGGTGGGGATGTTTTGTGGATGTATCTATTGGGTCATGGATCCAAAATTCTGCAATTAGGTTAGTTGTGGTTAAGGTAAAGGTTTCTGTTGCAAAGAGAAATCCTTGTTCAATCTACATTTGCGCAGTCAAGTTGGTGAGACTTCATGGGTATAGTTTTTGCTATTGTTAGAAGATGCAATCTCACAGTACGCTCCCTGGCCTTCTGGTTCTTACAGTCTTTCCTCTCCCTCTTCCACAATGGTCCCTGAGCCTTTAGGGTGGGAATGTATGGCTGTGTCTATTAGGACAGTGGTCCACAGCTCTGCATTTTGGTCGACTGTGGTTGTAGTTTTCTCTGTTGCAAAGAGAAGTTTCTTTGATGAGGGGTGAAAACTACACTTATATATGGGTATAAAGACAAATGTGCATTGGTGGTTGTTAGAGATTACACTGGTTTAGTAAATTAGTGGTGGAATACTCTCCTCCACTAATCATGTCCCCACTGTCATTGTCACTGAGAAGCTAGTTAGTTTCTGGTACCAGGCATGGTCTCCCTCTTGTTGAGCTGATTATGTCTTAATTCTAATTAGAGAGAGATTGGCTTTTGACCAGGTTTATAGAAGCATGTATGAATTCTGTTTCTGTGGAACAAGCCTCAAATCCAATCAGATGAAGCAGTTGGTTACCCCCATAAAAATAGTGGACACATCTTGCCTGGTATGTTGTTCTCATAATCTGTAGGGTTCACAGATGGGTGAGATCACTCCTAGTAGCCTGCACAGCGTCTTCTGGGACTAGGAAATTTAGTCAATCAGGAGGAAAATCTAGTTCAGTCTCGCTTGATTTCTCTATGTCTTATAACCAAGATGTGTGCTGTGCTCATCACTAGAGTCTCCTCAAGTAGTAGGACAACTAAGAGAGACTGAAAGCTGATTTTACAAGGCCTCTGGGGGCTTCCTGAGGTATCTCAAACCCAGAACTGTGTTTTTTTGTCTCTTAAACACACTTGGCATGGCAGTTGGTTCTGTTCGTACACAACGATTCATATATCTTCACTTCTCTCTCAAATATGGATATTAGTTCATTGTGTTGTCTTTAATGTTTATATGTCTATCTTAATATTTTACAGAACTCCAGACCAAGGATTAGAATCTATTTATTTTCATAGCCTCAGTATTCAGAACATTTCCTGGAATACTGGAATATTATCAGATAATCTAAAAAGTGCCCAAATCACCTTTTCCAGTTCTTCTATAGCTGTTTCTTTATAAAAAAACAATCTTAATGAATAATCAGTGCTTAACATGACTTGGTAAAAATTTCTCCTGGTCCTTCTCTTTTATAGGAGGACTTAGTGCACACAATCGGTGAAAGTGCTGCATTGGGAGCAGCAGGAATAATACTGTGGGGAGGATATGAATATTCTGATACAAAGGTCAGTAGTAATTTCTCTGTTACTGTTACATTCTAGTCAGTGGTTCTCAACCTTTCTAATGCTGCGTCCCTTTCAAACAGTTCCTCATGTTCTGGTGACTACCCAACCATCAAATTATTCTCACTGCTACTTCAGACCTGTAATTTGGCTACTGTTATGAACAGACATTTTTGGAGGTAGAAGTTAACGAAGGCATAGTGACTCACAGGTTGAGAACTGCTGTCCTGGCTAGTGATTTTAAAAATTTAAAACAATTTTCAAAATTTTCAAAGTGTTTTCTCACATCAGTTGGCTGCCAATTGTTTGTTTCTTCAGCTGTAACAAAGTTCAAAGACTGTAGAGCTGAACACTGATCACCCAATTCTATACTAGACTGTGGCTAACAGAGGGGTGGACAAGCATAATCTTCAACTGGGCAGCCTAAAGTAAGAAGCTGATTATTATATCCTAAGGGTATAATTTGGAGCATGTTAAGTAACTGCTCTCAGTCTTACTTTCTTCATTTAAAACTGTAGCAGAATTAAACTCACAATGCAGGAAATTTAGTCAAAGAAACGCTGTTATATATACATAACACAAGTTATCATGAAAAATTGAAAATCATTTTATTATTATGAAGAATAGATTCTTTACAATTATTTTTTAGTTTGATGGTAGCTTATAATAAAAGTATACATGGAAGGAAAATGGTATTTATAGGATAGTTGATTGATATTTTTAAAATTTTGAAGTTAGAATATTTAACTTAACATCTATTTTGTAACAATTTTGGAAGGTCATAATCCAGCATTGTTAATTATAGCTATCATGTTCTACAGCAGATTTGTAACATTTGTTTGTCTAGCATGCATGCACCTTTCAGTGTATTGATTTGAAATTTAGATAACTCATGTACAAGTGGACTCATACTGTGGTGAATTTTGGTACTTCTTTGATTACTTAGCATAATGTCTTCTGTGCTAACTAGCTTTCTTCCAAATGGCAGAGTCTTCTTCTATTTTTAAAGATTGAGTTATATTCCGTTGTATATATCACATGATCATTATCCATACATCTCCTGATGGACACTTGGGTTAATTACAGTTCTTGACTACAAAGAATAGCCCCACACTGAATATAGAAGTGTGGATGCCACTTCCAGATCATAGTTTAAACTTTTTTTTGTATATATGCCCATATGAGAGTATATGTATATATATTCCTGCATATGATAGTTCTAGTTTTAATCTTTAAAGACCTTCCATACTGTATTCCTTAGGTTTGCATCTCTTTACATTTAAATCAGCAGGCTAAAAGGGTTCCAAACAATGTCATCAATACATGTAATCGCTACATGTACCCTAATAGTAGCCAATCTTACAGGTATGTGGTAATGTCTCATTGTACCTTGGATTTGTACCTTTCTGAGAATTAAAATTATTTATTTATATGCCTCTTTTATTTATTTGTTCAAGTGAGCTAGCCACTGTGTTTTTTTTTTAAGACAAAAATCTCACTATATAACTGGCCTAGAACTTTCTGTATGAACTAGTCTGTCACTGAACTCAAAGGGATCCACATGTCTCTGTCTTCCAGTTAAGTGCTGGGATTAAAGATGTGTGCCATCATGCCCCTGTCTGTTTACTTATCCATATTTTCTGTTTTAGGGACTGAACCAGAGGTCTCACACATGCTTGGCAAGGGCTGTACCAGTGAGCTATATCCCTGGCTTTCATTTTATTACACATTTTTAGACGAGATCTTAAATTGTCTGGGAGGGCCTTGCATTCAACTCTGTAGGCCACTCAAGGCTCAGACTTGAAATTCTCTTGCCCTAGCCTCCCAAATAGCTGAGGTTATAGGCCTATACCATCAAACCTGGTTATGCTGGTGTTTGTTTTGTTCCTTTCAGTTGTCACGCATGTTATTTTGAATCCCTTCTGGATGCGGAGCTAGTAATTGTAGGAAATAGGGATTTTGCACATCTTTTCCATTACTTTGTAGAATACCTCCTCATTCCATTAACAGTTTTACTTTTTCTGTGTATGCAATAGTGTTTAGTCTGACGTAGTTGTCTTTGTTCCTTTTCTTCTGTCACCAGTGCTTCTGATCTCATGCAAAAAAGATGTCACAGTTGACAGGAAGCAGGAAGAAAAGCATGCTTTCTGCTTAAAGTTTTTTTTATCAGTTTCTGGTTCTTCGTGTTTAAGTTTAATCCACTTTTTGTTAAATTTTCTGTTATATAAGTGAGTGGTTCAATTTTGTTTAGACAATTGTTTCCCCAACACTATTTGTTAACAAGTTGGGTTTTTCTATGTTGTGTATTCTTGACATCCCTGTCAAAGGTCACTTGACTGTATACATATGAGTTTATTTCTCTGGAATCTATTCTGTTTGTTCTATAAGCATCTCTCTTTCTCTCTCTCTCTCTTTTTCTCTACAGGAGACTTGCTTATCTGTGCAACAAACTGTTCACGGGCAATTGGGCCCCTATGTTCTCAATGTAACATCAGCAGCAAAGCTCTGTAGTAAAAGTCTATGTAACAGTCATGGAAGATGTGTTCGAAAGACACCAGAATCCTCCTTTTATCTACATATGCCTGAGGATAGCCGCAAGAATTATGTCCCAAACAAAAGTTTCAGTTTTGTCATTTCTCCAAAAAGTAAGCTGAAGACCATAATGAATATGAAGAATGGATTTGTGTGTCACTGTTACTATGGCTGGCAAGGAGAGTCCTGCAAGTCTCATTCTCCAAATCTCCAAAAGGACAAGGCTCCTGCAACTGGGTTTAATTCAGTAGCTTCTGTTGGCATGGCCTTATTTGTAATTCTGATGAATTTTTGTCCTATTCCCTACTACACTGGTGATTTTTCTTTAAAACACTAAAGTGAAAAAACATTATTTTTCTTTGATTTCAAGCCTTTTCTAATGAATTTTTAGTTTTAAGTTTCATACAAGTTGTTCGATGCTTACTTCATGCTGGGCAATAGGAATAGACCTGTCCTCATGGAGCTTAGAAATCAAGAAAAGATAAGTGATAAATAGACCAATATGATGGTGATAGTAGTTTATAGAATAAAGAGAAAACAGGTTTAGGGCATTAGAAAGTGTTAGTGAACACTGGGAATTTTATAAAAGTTTGTCACATAAGGCCTTTAGAGTGAGAAAACCAAGTAGCAGATGAATTAGGTCAACACTGTCAGGGAGCCAGATATTAGAGTTTCCTCCTGTAATCTGAGCACCTGGAAGGCAGAGATCAATTACAAGTTCAAGGCCAGTTTGGCTTATGAAGTGAGCTAAAAAGTCAGTCAAGCCAACATAGTGAGAGTTTGGTTTAAAAAAAAGAAAGAAAAGGAAACTAGAAACAAAATAGGAAAGAAAAGAATGTAACGTATCTGGGGAATGTGTTCTTGAAACAAAAAAGAGCAAATCCAGAGGAAACAATTCTGCATTCCAGGGATTGTAAACTTCTAAATAACAAGCAACACAACAGTAACAAAACAACAATGGCAACAATGACACCACTAGGATACTCACCTATCGAGATGAAAACGACTCTTTAAATGGTGTCATCAAAGATTAACTTTATCCAGAGGACGTTTGGCTCATCAATACCAAAAGATAAACTGTAAGAACTTTCTACACAATAGGACTTATGTCAGAAATTCTTTTGTTTGATACTTTTTTGGTTTATTGAAATATACCACACCCAAACAGTCTGTCAATTGTCATTGGATGGTAATTCATTTAAAAATTTTGTTATGGTGACCTTACTGAACCTAGCTGTAATCCAAATAATTTTATTTTACAAAGACACAGCATTTTCAGAGAGACTCAATAGAGTATGGTGTTCTAAATGTTATTTATTTTCTAAGGCTAGGAAAGGTATTTTCCTGTCTTATATGTCCCAAATTTCCCAAATTTTGCACTATTAGGCAGATATCATCCTGGAACACACATAGAACTTTATAAAATGGCATATTCAGATTCTCATACTAATACTAATTGTTTCATTAACTAGTTATTCCATCATGTATTTTGAGAAAAAGTAAAAAGTAAAGAAGCAGTATGGGAAGCTAGATTGATGGGCATGTATAAGTAAATTCTCCTGTTTTGTTGGTCTCCTGTAGCCCAAAAACTATATTTATAGGAACTAAAGCCTTTACAGCAAGCATACAATGTTTTTCCTAAGTATTCAGTTGCCAAATATGTCATACAGGAAGCAATGACGCCTTCTAGTCTTCCAGTGATGAAAAATTATTTAACAACTATTATATCAGGGGTCAGACGCTGAACTCCAAGTAAAGCAGAAAAGGCAAATACTAAGTATTAATACCATCTTGAAGATGAAGGAAATAAAACAGGTAAAGAATAATAGAGACATGCTCAGTTGTTTCCAGCCACCAATGAATACACTAGAGGTAGATTCCACTGTTTAAAATGCCCCTGAAATAATTAGGAAATATGGATTGGTCTATTATGAGAAAGGGGAAAACAATTAGGAAGAAATGTTAGTAACTTTAGATAGTCTTTCCAAATTTCCAAATTAGAAGACTATTACATTTTATTTCACTAGTATTATAAAATAAAAACAATACGATGTTTTGTTTTTTAAATATTAATTTTATGTGTATGTCTGTTTTGCTTATATGTATGTATGTATATCACATGCATGCAGTGCCTTCAGAAGCCAGAAGAGGGTTTCAGGTCCCCTAGAATTGGAATTCTGGATGTTAGTGAGGTGCCATGTGGGTGCTGGGAACCCTACCCAGGTCCTCTTCAAGAACAGTAAGTGCTTCTCAGTGTAAGGCTATTTCAGGAGCCCCGGTGGTCACATTTCTTTTTTTTTTTATTATTTTATTTTATTTTTTTTATTGGATGTTTTATTTACATTTCCTATGTTGTCCCCTTACCCCATCCCCCACCCACCCCGGAACCCCCAATCCCCTCACCCCTCCTCCTCCTTCTCTGTGGATGTAACCTCTATCTACTCCCCCCCACTCCCACCTCCCCACCCTCAAAATTCCCACCCCCTGGGGCATCCAGCCTTCATGAGGTCAAGGTTCTCTTCTTCCACCTATGCCCAGCAGGGCCCTCCACTCTTACATATTCAGCTGAAGCCCTGAATCCCCCCCCTAAGTGCTCCCAGGCTGGTGGTTTAGACCCTGGGAGCTGTGGTTGGTTGGTATTATTGTTCTCCTCATGGTGCCACAAATCCTTTCAGCTCCTTCAGTCTTCACTCTAACTCCTCTATTGAGAAACCCATGATCAGTTCAATGGCTAGTTGTGAGCATCTGCCTCTGAATATGTCAGACTCTTGAAGACCTCTGAGGAGACATCCATATCAGGCCCTTATCAGCATGCACTTCCTGACTTCCACATCAGCATCTACCTTTGGTGACTGCACATGGGATGGATACTCAGGTGGAAAGGTCTTCAGACGGCCCCTCATTCAGTTTTTGTCCCTCGCTTTGTCTCCATATTTGCTCCCTTGAGTATTTTGTTGCTCCTTCTAAGAAGGACCGAATCACCCCCACTTGGTCTTCCTTCTTTATGGGCTTCATGTGGCCTGTGAGTTGCATCTTGGGCATTTCAAGGTTCTGGGCTAATATCCAATAATCAGTGAGTGAATACCATGTGTGTTCTTTTGTGATTGACTTACCTCACTCAGGATGATAATTTCTAGTTCCATCCATTTACCTAGGAACCTCTCGAATTCATTGATTTTAATAGCTGAGTAATACTCCATTGTGTAAATATACCACATTTTTTGAATCCATTCCTCAGTTGAAGGACATCTGGGTTCTTTCCAGCTCCTGGCTATTATAAATAAAGCTGCTATGAACATAGTTGAGCATATGTCCTTATTATATGTTCGAGCATCTTCTGGGTATATGCCTAGGAGTGGTATAGCTGGATCCTCGGGTAATGCTATGTCCAATTTTCTGAGGAACCGCCAGACTGATTTCCAAAGTGGTTGCACCATCTTGCAGTCCCACCAACAATGGAGGAGTGTTCCTCTTTCTCCACACTTTCGCCAGCATCTACTATCACCTGAGTTTTTAATCTTAGCCATTCTGACTGGTGTGAGATGGAATCTCAGGGTTGTTTTGATTTGCATTTCCTTGATGACTAAGGATGCTGAGCATTTCTTTAGGTGCTTCACGGCCATTCGAGTTTCTTCCGTTGAAAATTCTTTGTTAAGCTCTATACCCCATTTTTTAATAGGGTAATTTGGTTGTCTGGAGTCTAATTTCTTGAGTTCTTTGTATATATTGGATATTAGCCCTCTATCAGATGAAGGATTGGTAAAGATCTTTTCCCAATTTGTTGGTTGTCGTTTTGTCCTATTGACAGTGTCCTTTGCCTTACAGAAACTTTGCAATTTTATGAAGTCCCATTTGTCAATTCTCGATCTTAGAGCATATGCCATTGGAGTTCTGTTCAGGAACTTTTCCCCTGTGCCCAAGTATTCGAGGCTTTTCCCCACCTTCTCTTCTATTAGTTTCAGTGTATCTGGTTTTATGTGGAGGTCCTTTATCCACTTAGATTTGAGCTTTGTACAAGGGGATAAGAATGGATCAATTTTCATTCTTCTACATGTTGTCCTCCAGTTGAACCAGCACCATTTGTTGAAAATGCTGTCTTTTTTCCACTGGACAGTTTTAGCTCCTTTGTCAAAGATCAAGTGACCATAGGAGTGTGGGTTCATTTCTGGGTCTTCAATTCTATTCCATTCATCTTCCTGCCTGTCTCTGTACCAATACCAGGTAGTTTTTATCACTATTGCTCTGTAGTACAGCTTGAGGTCAGGGATGGTGATTCCTCCAGAAGTTCTTTTATTGTTGAGAATAGTTTTCGCTATCCTGGGTTTTTTGTTATTCCATATGAATTTGAGAATTTCCTTTTCTAACTCTGTGAAGAATTGAGTTGGGATTTTAATGAGGATTGCATTGAATCTGTAGATTGCTTTTGGCAAGATGGCCATTTTTATTATATTAATCCTGCCAATCCATGAGCATGGGAGATCTTTCCATCTTCTGAGATCTTCTTCAATTTCTTTCTTCAGAGACTTGAAGTTCTTGTCATACAGGTCTTTCACTTGCTTGGTTAGATTCACACCAAGGTATTTTATATTATTTGCAACTATTGTGAAGGGTGTCATTTCCCTAATTTCTTTTTCAGTCTGTTTATCTTTCATGTAGAGGAAGGCTACTGATTTGTTTGAGTTGATTTTATAACCAGCCACTTTGCTGAAGTTGTTTATCAGGTTTAGGAGTTCTCTGGTGGAAGTTTGGGGGTCACTTAAGTGTACTATCATATCATCTGCAAATAGCGATATTTTGATTTCTTCCTTTACTATTTGTATCCCTTTGACTTCTTTTTGTTGTCTAATTGCTCTGGCTAGGACTTCCAGTACTATATTGAATAGGTAGGGGGAGAGTGGGCAGCCTTGTCTAGTCCCTGATCTTAGTGGGATTGCTTCAAGTTTCTCTCCATTTAGCTTGATGTTGGTACTGGTTTGCTGTAAATTGCTTTTACTATGTTTAGGTAGGGGCCTTGAATTCCTGATCTTTCCAAGACTTTTATCATGAAGGGATGTTGAATTTTGTCAAATGCTTTCTCAGCATCTAGTGAGATGATCATGTGGTTTTTTTCTTTAAGTTTGTTTATACAGTGGATTACATTGATGGATTTCCGAATATTGAACCATCCCTGCATTCCTGGGATAAAACCTACTTGATCATGATGGATGATTGTTTTGATGTGGTCTTGGATTCGGTTTGCTAGAATTTCATTGTGTATTTTTGCATCGATGTTCATAAGGGAGATTGGTCTGAAGTTCTCTTTCTTTGTCGGGTCCTTGTGGGGTTTGGGTATGAGTGTAATTGTAGCTTCATAGAACGAATTGGGTAGTGTTCCTTCTGTCTCTATTTTGTGGAATAGTTTGAAGAGAATTGGTATTAGGTCTTCCTTGAAGGTCTGATAGAATTCAGCACTAAAACCATCTGGTCCTGGGCTTTTTTTAGTGGGGAGACTTTTAATGACTGCTGCTATTTCCTGAAGGGTTCTGGGACTATTTAGATGGTTTATCTGCTCCTGGTTTAACTTCGGTACCTGATATCTGTCTAGGAAATTGTCCATTTCATCCAGGTTTTCCAGTTTTGTTGAGTATAGGCCTTTGTAGTAGGATCTGATGATTTTTTTAATTTCTTCCGTTTCTGTTGTTATGTCTCCCTTTTCAGTTCTGATTTTATTAATTTGGATACTGTCTCTGTGCCCTCTGGTTAATCTGGCTAAGGGTTTATCTATCTTGTTGATTTTCTCAAAGAACGAACTCCTGGTTTTATTGATATTTTGTATTGTTCTTTCTGTTTCTATTTGGTTGATTTCAGCCCTGAGTTTGATTATTTCCTGCCTTCAACTCCTCCTGGGTGTATTTGCTTCTTCTTGTTCTAGAGCTTTTAGTTGTGCAGTCAACTTGTTAATGTGTGCTCTTTCCAGTTTCTTTTTGTAGGCACTTAGAGCTATGAGTTTTCCTCTTAGCACTGCCTTCATGGAGTCCTGCAAGTTTTGGTATGATGTGTCCTCATTTTCATTGAATTCTAAAAAGTCTTTAATTTCTTTCTTTATTTCTTCCTTGACCAAGTCATCATTGAGTAGAGAGTTGTTCAGTTTCCATGTGCACATGGGTTTTCCATTGGTTTTGTCATTAT